CAAGCAAAATAATTCAACAAAGTTTCCAGACACAAGATTAATGTACACAAATCAGTAATTCTTCTACATACCAACAGCCACTGAGTGGAGAATCAAATCAAGAACTCAATCCCTTTTACAATAGCAGCAAAAAAATTAAAAATAAAATGCTTAGGAATGTACCTAACCAAGGAGTCAAAAGACCTCTACATGGAAAACTACAGAACATTGATGAGAAAATTCATAGATGACATGAACAAACGGAAATGCATCCCATGCTCATGGATAGGTAGAATCAATATTATGAAAATGACCACGCTGCCAAAAGCAATCTACAAATTCAGTGGATAAAGGAACATATATATATGTAGATATATATATGCAGGAATACTATGCAGCCATAAAAAGGAATGAATTAACAGCATTTGCAATGGCCTAGATGAGACTGGAGACTATTATTCTAAGTGAAGTTTATCAATAATGGAAAACCAAACATTGTATGTTCTCACTGATATGTAAGACCTGAGCTATTACATAGAGGACACAAAGGCATAAGAATGATACAATGACTTTAGAGACTTGGGGAGAAGAGTGGGAGGGGGTGAGGAATAAAAGACAACCAATATGATTTTGCAGATGGTGTATCAAAATCTCACAAATCACCACTAAATAACTTACTCATGTAACCAAATACCACCTGTACTACCAGTACCCCAATAACTTATGGAAAAATAAAAAATATAATAAATAAAATAAAATTCTCCAGAAATTCCTGCATATTTGAACAGTAAGTAAATCACTTTTTAACAACCTATCGGTAAAGTAAATCACAACGGAAATCATAAAATATTTTGAGCTTAATGTTTATAAAAATACAACCTAACAAAGCTAGTAAAAGTCAGCCAAAATCTTAGTTGTATTAATTAGAAAGTAACAAAGACTGAAAAACTAATGCACAAAACGTTAATTCAAGAACTAATTTCACTTAACATAATGTACTCCATGTTCATCCATGTTACTGCAAGTGATCTCAAAATATTATATTGTACCCTATAAATAGTAATATTATTATTCATCAATTAAAAGTGAAATAAAATAATAAAGTTATTCATGCCCTCAGGTCCATACACATTGCCAAAAATGGCAGTATTTTCTTCTTTTTTAAGGTTGAATAATATTGAGTTATAAATGTATTTATTGCATAATACTATATTATATATATAGGGCACAAATTTTGAGCTAGGCAGAATGAACAAATTCTGGTAATCTAAGGGACAGCATGAGATTATAACTAATGATTCATATTAGGTATATAGATACATATATATTATTCAACACTGGATATGTACTGTCTTTACCCATTTATATTTGATGGACATTTTTTCATATCTTGGCTACTGTGAATAATGCTAACCTATATATAGAAGTGCAGGCATCCTTCAGGATATTAATTTCATTTCCTTTACACATATCACAGGAAGTCCCATTGCTAGATTATATTTTTAATTATAATTTTTTGAGGAACCTCTATAGAGTTTCATATAATGGCCATAGCAATTTACATTTCCAGCAATAGTGCACAAGGGTTCTTTTCTCTATGGAAACATAAATGCAGCATGATCTCACTTATGTTTGCAATCTAAGAAAAGTCAAACTCATAAAAGCCAGAGACTAGAATGGTGGTTGCCAGGGACTGGGGCTGAAGAAAATGAGATGTTGGTAAAAGGGTTAAAGTTCTGTTATGTACTATGAATAACTTCTGAAAAGCTCAGGTACAGCATGTTGATCATAATTAGCAATACATACTGGATAAATGAAATTTGCTAAGAGAATATACCTTAAGTGTTCTTACCACAAGTGAAGGTAACTATGTGATTTAATGGATACATTAATTAGCTTCATAGTGGTAATCACTTCACAATGTATACATTTATCAAATATCATATTATATACTTTAAGTACATAAAATATTTGTGAAATATACCTCAATAACACTAGAAACAACAAGAACAAACTACATTTGAAAGACAACAACAGAAGATGTTACCAATCTTCTGTTGGCAAAAGCAGGTAAAACTGTACAAATGCTGCACAGTACTCTCCCTGGAAGGCGTTACTGAAGCACTGAAGTGAAGCAAAGCATCCCAGTGAGCGGTATTTTGAGAATTGCGTTTGGTTTTCCATTTCATATGGAAAGAGAAATAGCCTGAGTTCTAGGTCAACAAAGATTCAGGAACATGGCTAAAAGATTTGATAAGATGTTGAGGAATTTTGAAATTCAACAATGGAAAAATGATTACAAAGCAATTGGAGTGGTATGAATATCCCAGAATGGGCACCAAATGCAACAGTTAGTTTCCCACATAATTGCCTATAAAAGCGAATGTACTGCAAAGGAGGCCTACAGAAATCTGGTCAGCAACATGAACTATAATTGGATATCAGTCAGACTTCTTTTTTCAGTCATCTTTGTAGTCACTGTGGCAGAGATGAATACTTGACAAAGGCTCAAAGAAGAATATCATTTGCCTTTAACCATGGCTGCTCTGGCTACTGTCAGTGCCCTGGGTCCAAAATGCCATCAGCAATGTTCATCATTGACTCCCTAACATGACACAAATAGCTAGCAAAACCACCAACAACCTGTGGCAGCTTACCTCATTGCAAATCTCAATGTAATAGACACAGTATCCTGTCATTATATTATGTATTCTGGTTATATGATTGTTCCAGCACTTTAGTCTTATTTATTATTCATGGGGAATAATCCATTATCCATTGCCATGGTATCATGATCATTGCCATTTATAACCAGAGAATACCTTTTCTAGTAAATAAACCAAATTACTCACCACCATAGAATTCACGGCTATGACCACGCATCCCATCACCTAAAAGCTATTGTCTAGGTAGAACATTGGAATGGCCTGGGTGAGTCATGGTGCCATCCGGAATGATATCACCCTACAAACCTAGAATGCTTTCTTCTATATGTTTGACACACAGTATATGCTCAATAATTTGTCAACATAAACCTTGTGCCACATAAATCTTTGGTAGATTATCTTCACACTGATAAACATTCCTCATGCAGCCTAATAAATGTCCTTCTTCATTTCAATATCCACAAGATCCAATTCCACATTCTTCTATAAATAAATAACTCATAAATATATCTAGAATATTCTTCAAATATTGAAAATCATGCCAATAAATATTTAGTGAACCTATGAATCAAAGAAAAAATTATAATGGAAATAAGCAAATATTTAGAACTAAGCAATAAAAAATATTAAAACATTGAGGGGTCATCAAAACAGTGCTTAAAGAAAAGTGTATAGCCAAAAATGCTTACATTTAAAATAAATGTTTAAAAGCAGCCATCTGAGCCTTCACGTTAAGAAGCTAGAACAAGAAAAGTAAATGAAAATCAAGGTAAGTATATGAAAAGATATAAATATAAGATCAAAAAGCAATAAAATGAAAAACATAGAGAAAATAAAAATAGCCAAAATCTGGTATCTTTATGAAGAAATTGATAAACTGCTACAAGAGTGATCAAGAGAAAAGAGAGAGAAATTCAAATTACTAATACCAGAAATAATAAAACAAATGATCATCCCACAGATCCTCTAAACTTTAAAAGGTTAGAAAAGGATTGTTATGAAACACATTGTTTTAATTAATTTGAAAGCTTAGATGACAGGTAAAATGTAGGGAAAGGATAACCTTCTAAAAATGACGCAAAGAGAAACTAAAACATTCCTGTATATTTCCAAGTAATGAGCTATCTTTACTTGTAGATAACATGATAGTATTTCAGACAACCCTAAAGAATCTACAGATATAACTTTGTAGGAATAAGAAGTAAATTTAGCAAATTTATAGAATTCAAGTGTCAAATAAAAAATTAACTTTCCTTTATAATTCCTAGCAACAATGACAATGGGAATTTTTTTGATTAAAAACCTGTGGTGAAATCTAAAAATATAAATACTTAGTAATAAATAAGGAAGATCCCTAGACTAACAACAACTAAAACAAATACTCTTCAAAAATAAACATTTATACTACCAAACAGATGTACTGTATTCAGGAATCTAAAAACAAAACATTGTTAAGATATTATTAGTATAAGATCATTTATAGATGCAACGTAAAGTGAATAAAACTCCAATATGCTCTTTTTGAGATATGGACAATTGTTCTGCATCTTTCTCTGCATAGTGACTTTGCAACTTCCCCAGCAAGGGTTATCTTCTATTTCTGTAACCTCAAATCTATCCTGTGACCACTCCGACAAATAGAACATGATGCAAGCGACCTTGTGCCAGTTCTGAACATAGCTGTTAACTGGCTGGACCCATCTACTCTACCTCTGGGATCACTGAGCACCATGTAAAAAGCCTGACTATTCTCTGTAGTGATCTTGTGATCCCTCATTTAAAGGGATAGGAAAAGGGACCCAGCGCATCTCTTACTGTCATCTCTTCTAGTACACTATAAATGTGAATTAAGTTATCCTGCATCTTAAATAATACTCAGTTATCAGGTGAATAAGAGAGTGGCTTCAGTTTTTGCCGCACAAAACAGAAGAAATACCCAGCCAACAACTGCCTGAATCCCTGGTTCACAAAATTTTGAGATAAAATAAAAATGATGGTTGTTTGAACTCAAAAAAAACTGTGGAGCCTTGCACCATACATGAAGATAGGACCAGAATAAAAAGTGACACCTTAAGGCTTAGTGCCAGTAACAACAATTTAAAGTCTATAGCATTGGCTTTAGTGCCCAAAACAGGGGCCTCCAGGATATTATATGTGAAGGCTGAAAAGACAGACGTAAGTGTTCCACAGGCTATGAAAAAAGTGAGTCACTGTCCAGTGCTGAAAAAATTTAGTAATTCTGTCACCCACAGTAAGGCAGAAAATAAAAAATGTACTTAAGCAAGCAGAAGGATTTGGCGAAAATTGACAAGTAGAATATTGAACATTGAAGTTGTTTCTTTTACCAGTGTATCATATAATAATAGATTTTTTTAATTAATGAAAAGATTAAATGTTACATTTTTCAGACAGAATTTACAAGAAGCATAAAAGAACCAGAAACTGCTGGCTTCAAAGATAACACTGGTTCCCCTTTCCAGTCTCTGCAAAGAGCTAAGTACTCTAAAAGCAAGAAAGGTCATCAAAATAAATGCCATTTCAAACATGTGGATGTAAGACTTGGAGAGAATGCAGAAAAATTTAACGCTGTGTATCATAAGTACCTTAAATTAGACAAACAATTCTCAGATTCTTAAGAGTTTATCTGACAGCATACAGTGTTTCAGTTCAAGTCTGAGAAGGGCTAGTTTCAAAAATATTTGTGAATATGATGATTGTATATTCTACAAAGTCTTTAAATAAACTACACTAAAGGAAGCACCATAGCATTTTGTTTTGAACAGGAGCCTCCATTTTATTACCTATTCCTCCCTTTCCCCATTGTGTGCTAGGCATATGGAAGAAATACCCTATCTCAAAGATCTGTAAATAGGAAAAAATATAATTTAACACACGCACAATAGCAACTGCACCCATGGAGCCCCATCCACACTCAGGCTGGATATAGATGTTGAGATCTTGAACTTCAATCAGATGCCATGATGAGATGACTTCTTAATTGGGCCATAAGCCTCCAAATCCTGTCTTCTCACTTTGATATCCTTGACTTACCCTTAGAAATCTGAATACCTCACTGGGAAGACCTTGAATACATGCCTCCTTATCTACATGAAGAGGAACACTCTTATTCTAACTGTAGTTAGCTTTTACACAAGAGTTTTTCTAAAGCATTTCTCATCTCTGAATTTCTCAATGTGTATATTAAGGGATTCAACATGGGTGTGATAACTGTATAAAACACAGTTATAAATTTATCAATAGGAAAGTTTGAAACTGGTCTAACATATATGAAAATACAGGGAACGAAAAACAGGACCACCACGGTGATGTGGGAGCTGCAGGTAGACAGGGCTTTACGCCTCCCTTCCTGACTGTAAGTTTTAAGGGAGTTTAGGATGGCTCCATAGGAGATTAGAAGAAGGGTAAAGATGATCATACAGATTGCTCCACCATTGAAAACCACAGTGAGGCCTATAAAGTAGGTGTCAGTGCATGCCAGTTTCAATAACGGGTACATGTCACAGACAAAGTGGTCAATCACATTGGGGCCACAGAAAGGGAGACTGTACACAACAACAATTTGAAACACAGAATGAACAAAACCTCCAGTCACGGCCAACACCAACAGAAGGATGCAAACCTGTGTATTCATGATGGTCAAATAGTGCAGGGGCTTACAGATGGCCACATAGCGATCATAGGCCATCACCACCAGGAGGAAGATCTCAGCACCACCAAATAAGTGGTCTATAAATAGCTGGCCCATGCAAGCTGGGAGGGAAATAGTCTTTTTGTCACAGAGTAAGTCCACAGTCAATTTGGGAGAAATGATAGTGGAATATGCAGCATCTATAAATGACAGGCAGGCAAGGAAGAAGTACATTGGGGAACCTAAGGAAGGGCTGGCAATAATAGTCACCACAATGAGCAGGTTCCCCACCATTGTCATGAAGTATGTGAGTAAAAACATGACAAATAATGCTTTTTGCACATCAGGATCCTGAGAGAAGCCCAGGAGGACAAATTCTGTAATACTCTTATTCTGTCTCATTTAATCTTATTCAGGCTTGTAACAGAGGTGAGAGTTCAGGAGAACAGGACCTGTAATGAAATAGTGAACAGGAATATGATTACATCCATTGTGTCACAGAACACATCTTCATTTTTGAATCCTCACTAGTGATTGACGCATATAAACATTTAGTAGGTCTCTATAGAGTTCCTCACCCAAAGAGCCTATCTTCCCTTTACAATTCTACTTCACCTCAAAGATTTTAGTTTTAGCCTTTACGGCTTCTACCTCCAAGTTTTAGTGCAAATTCTAAACAAGAAGAATTAAAGTCCCAACAGCTTTCATACATTTTGTAACCTCTTATTTAAACATTTTTCTTGGCACAGAAGTCAGCTATGACAAATAGGCAATGTGTTCTTGGTCTCAGGAAACTTACTCTCTAGTGGTGGTAATAAACTCTAAACAAATAAATTGCATAGATTTAGTCCTTCGTGTTTGTACTTGTGATATCTTTACAATATGAGCTGTGTAGCTCCAGGAATAACATCTTCTGAAATATCACAGTACTCTGGCCTTCTACTGTGAGACCTTCAATCCTTCATGCCTCAAAGGATGTTTAGTCTTCATTAGTCTTTCATTAAACATCAAAAGACAGGACTCTAAAGTGTATAAATAGCTGTGGAGTTTCATTAGGTCCCATTTGTCTATTTTGGCTTTTGCTGCCAATGCTTTTGGTGTTTTGTTAATCAAAAGTGGGCAAAGGATATGAACAGACACTTTACGAAAGAAGACATATATGAGGCCAACAATCATATGAAAAAATGCTCATCGTCACTGGTCATCAGAGAGATGCAAATCAAAACCACATTGAGATACCATCTCACGCCACTTAGAATGGCGATCATTAAAAAATCTGGAGACAACAGATGCTGGAGAGGATGTGGAGAAAAAGGAACACTTTTACACTGTTGGTGGGAGTGTAAATTAGTTCAACCATTGTGGAAGACAGTGTGGTGATTCCTCAAGGCCTTAGAAATAGAAATTCCATTTGACCCAGCAATCCCATTACTGGGTATATATCCAAAAGACTATAAATCCTTCTACTATAAGGACACATGAACACGAATGTTCATTGCAGCACTGTTTACAATAGCAAAGACCTGGAATCAACCCAAATGCCCATTGATAATAGACTGGATTGGAAAAATGTGGCACATATACACCATGGAGTATTATGCAGCAATCAGAAATGATGAGTTCGTGTCGTTTGTAGGGACATGGATGAATCTGGAGAACATCATCCTCAGCAAACTGACACAAGAACAGAAAATGAAACACCGCATATTCTCACTCATAGGTGGGTGATGAAAAATGAGAACACATGGACACAGAAAGGGGAGCACTAAACACTGGGGTCTATTGGGGGGAAAAGGGGAGGGCCAGTGGGAGGGGGAGGTGGGGAGGGATAGCCTGGGGAGAAATACCAAATGTGGGTGAAGGGGAGAAGAAAAGCAAAGCACACTGCCATGTGTGTACCTACGCAACTGTCTTGCATGCTCTGCTCATGTACCCCAAAACCTATAATCCAATAAAAAATTAAAAAAATAAAATAAAATAAAATAAAAAAAAAAACAAAAAAAAAAACACTGGGGTCTATTGGGGGGAAAAGGGGAGGGCCAGTGGGAGGGGGAGGTGGGGAGGGATAGCCTGGGGAGAAATGCCAAATGTGGGTGAAGGGGAGAAGGAAAGAAAAGCACACTGCCATGTGTGTTCCTACACAACTGTCTTGCATGCTCTGCTCATGTACCCCAAAACCTAAAATCCAATAAAAAATTTAAAAAAAAAATTTTTTTTTTTAAAAGTGTATAAATAGCTATGATATTATTTATCACATTGTTCCATGTAGCAATTACTTGGTGTGACTCTTTACAAGAGCTGTGATTCTCTCCATTTTATCCTTCTCTATACCCCAATTTTGACAACACTTAAATACAATATCTTAATCCTCAGCAATTAATTTTGAACTCAAATGAACTAACTCATGACTATCACCAACTACCAAATATGCCATGAGTATTTTTTTCCTGAATTCTTGATATGAGCTAAGGAGTGAGAGAGGAGAAAACAGACACTGTAGAAAGAGATACATAACAGTGGACATGGTTTTATTTATAATACTATTTAGATACCAGGAGTGCTCAAAAATAGAATCTTAGTTATCAGATTCCAGAAAGAATCATACTCTACGAGAAATCCCAAGTTCAGTATAAGGCAGCATGGATTTGAGTCATTTTCCTAATGCATTTACAAGTCTGTCTCAGTTTGCTCATTTGAAAACAATGGGATTACATTTGAGAAATTCAGAATACTTTCTAGGCAACTATCTACAGAACTATTAGTGCACCTCTCCTTTATGGTATTCTGCTTTTTTTTTCTTTTCTTATAAATTTATTATTAAATAAAAATTTCCAAACTCGTGAGTCTTACATGAAACATGGTAGTCCATGAAACAATGAGTTTTATGATTACAGTGAGTAAATAGTGACTATAAGTTTCTGATTGAGTATGTGCCTATTTAAAATCAAAGACATCCCTGGAGAGAAAGTGTAGCATGTGGCAAAAAATGTGGACCCTTCAGTCACACTGTTTCAGCTACAGCCTCAGGTTCAACATTTTTTATGAGACTTTGGGACATTTACTAAAGTTCTCTGATCCTTACTTTCATCATTTTTAGAATGGGGATCCCAATAGTGCTTACCTCTTAATTGCTTAATTTTCAGCAATTAATTTTTAACTCAAGTGAACCAACTGTTGTTTTATTAAAACAAAGTAAAGTGCCTAGAACACTGGCTGGCACCTGGTAAGGACTCAAATAAATTATAGTTATTATCAGTGTTCTTGTACGCTTCGCTTTGAAGATAGAACAAATCCTGTGAATCTTTGTCAACTTGAAAAGATTCATAGACATAGTCTAGGATAAAAAAGAATAAAACACTTATAATTCAGGAAAACCTCTTGGGGCACACAATAAAATTGTATGTCTTAGGAAGTATGTATCTAATTAGATATGAGTAGTAATTTTATCTGTGATGAAATATACCTTGATGAGAAGCAAAATTCTAGTAAAAAAAAATTTGAACCGATCAACAGAGGGAGAGCTAAATGGTACACCATAAAAGAAAAAAGAGTCAAATCAGAAAAAAAGAGAAATTATAGTAAATACATTAAAATTCACAGGTAATAGGAAGATTAATGTTATAATTAAGTAAGGCAAATTAGCTGGGCATGGTGGTACACACCTGTAATCTCAACAACTCAAGAGTCTGAAGAATGACAATCACTTGAACCCAGGAGGCAGAAGTGGCAGTAAGCCAGGATCATGCTACTGTGCTTCAGCTTAGGTGACCAAGTGAGATTCTGTCTCAAAAAAATAATAATAAAGTGAGACTACTTTTCTGCTAAAAAAAAAAAATCTTCAGAAAGATTATTTTAGTGAGGAAATACTGGAAGCATAATTTCCTGTGGGTCACTGGGGTGACTCAGGAGGCTTTGGGAATAGCCATAACAAACAGACACAGACCAGATCCTAGTAATAAAATAAAATTTAAAAAGAAAATAAGTAAACTAATAGATCTATAATCTAGTATGTAAAATATTTTATTATGTGATATATTAATATAGGTATAGAATTATTTTTAGATATAGTTGATTGGAAAATTTAAAATTGCAGATTATGTCAAGTGTGTAAGAATCTCTCAGTGTCTCTAGATCTGACAGTTAAGGACAAACTTGAAGGAAGAAGAATGGAACAAGTAGAGATACAAACCCAAACTTTGTGATATTCACTGCTGAGGAAAAGTACAGAATTACTAAACCTCAGATGTAGACCAGATGAATTCTGTTTACATAGATCTGACATTGGAAGAGTATGTGTGCAAAGAGAGTTTAAGCTTCTTCTAAAAGCCAGTTGTGATAAATGTTCGACATGCCTCCATATTACCACTTCCAGCTGATTCCAGAGTTCTGTCATTATTGAAGTTACAGACTAACAAAGGCAGATCTGTTGAAGAACACAAAGTATAATAAAACCTATAGCCAATCATCTCTTTTTCACATCTTACATGCTTCCAAATTTAATTCCTTTCTCTCTTTCTCTCCTTTTTTTTCTGAGACAGAGTCTCACTCTTATTGCCCAGGCTGGAGTGCAATGGCGCAATCTCGGTTCACTGGAACTTCTGCCTTCTGGGTTCAAGCAATTCTCCTGTCTCAGCCACCCAAGTAGCCGGGATTAAAGGTGCCTGCCAACATGCTCAGCTAATTTTGAATGTTTAGTAAAGACAGGGTTTCTCCATGTTGTTCAAGCTAGTCTCAAACACCCAACCTCAGGTGATCACCAACCTCGGTCTCCCAAAATGCTGGGATTACAGGCATGAGCCACAGCACTCAGCCTCCTACTCTCTCTAATCACCAGGATAAATCTCTTGGGCAGTTTAGATGTTTACTTGTAAAAAGTAGGATATGTAAACTACTCTCTTTAGCCTAAGTCATCAAAGATTTAATCCTTTAAAAACTGAAAGACAGTATTACTAGGCACTCAACATAAATCACCAAGATAATCTTTTCTAGACAAAAAATAATTTCCTAGGAACATGACATTTTCAAATGATAGAATCCCATAGTAACAAAAACAATCCCTTATAGATAAGATTTATAAAACAATACGTTTTGTAAATCTCTCTAGATACTTTCCTGAACCTGTACATGCTGAGACAAATTTTAGATTCACACATAAAGACCATATCATGCTTCCAGAGCATACTAGGCATTGGTTTCTTAACACTCTAACATACTTGATATGATCTGCAATTTTAAATTATCTAATCAACTATATCTAAAACTTCTATACCTATATTAATGTATCACATAATAAGATACTCTACATGCTAGATTATAAATCTATTGGTTTACTTATTTTATGTGTAATGTGGAACATGTTTCTCTTGTTACTTGGCAAATTAGAAAATAAACATCTATGAGGCTGTATATGAAAACAAAATATACCTGTATACTCTGATTAATGTCTGT